TGCGATTCAAAGAGAATTGCCTCCGAGCGAGATTCATTGGAATTGTAGTATCATCATCTCGATACGATTCAGAAATTTAAGGGTTTGTTTTGGAGGGGTTCCTCTGCTAGATTCAATTAGATAAGAGGGAAAATTAGATTGAATTGATACAAGAATGCTGTCGGACAATGAGATGGGTTTGGTATTAGCTGTATCGTCGAGTGTATTCATAGGTTCAAGCTTCATTTTGAAGAAGAAAGGTCTCAAACGTGCTGCTGCTAATGGCACCCGAGCTGGTTCGTTTTCGACATTACTCCTTTACAATATTTCCTGCTTGGTTTTTGATACATGTTTTGCTCGAGAAATTGTTTTGTCCTGAATTAGATTCATGTCGTAGGATTTGTTCTGGTAAAAGCTTGATGTTTTGAACTACCCATCTGCTCAAGTTTGTGTGTTTGCCTGCCGTCTGAATTGGATTAGATCTAGGAAGAATTTGTCTGGTGAGAGCTCATTTTGGAGAAGTTAAATCTGAATTTTATGATAAATTTTGTTCGTTTCCTCTAATATACAGTATCATCTATAGATCTCTTATGCAGATGTGTTATGTTTCTCCTCGGCTTATTGCAAAATTTGATACAAAACTGAGGAAAGAATGATTCTTGACCTTGTACTCCTAGTTTTGGTGCATCGCCTACTATTGCGATTGGTTCTATACCTTTCTACTATCGTTTTGATTGGGATATCAAGAAATGGGATTATGACTTGCTTGATGATGCAGGATTTGGAGGTTATACATATTTGCTAGAGCCACTTTGGTGGGTAGGCTTGGTGACAAGTGAGTAAACCATGTTATACTCCCTTCTTCCCTTTTCAATAACACTTGAATCGAATAGTTACATTCTGAATATGATTTGTCTAACTCAGTGACTTTTGGAGAAATTGCCAACTTTGTGGCTTACGTTTATGCACCGGCTGTATTAGTCACCCCTCTTGGTGCATTAAGTATTATCATCAGGTATGTTATGGCGTTTTTGGTGATTTCTGATGAACATTATCTGATAGGTATTTCTCATCTTCTCTTACTAGCGTTTCATTTTTTCTGTCATTACTAGTGCTGTTTTGGCACATTTCCTACTAAACGAAAAACTTAGAAAAATGGGAGTTTGGGGATGTGTTTGTTGCATCGTGGGTTCGGTTATGATCGTCATTCACGTGCCTCAAGAACAGACTCCGAATTCTGTTGAAGAAATCTGGAAACTAGCAATGCAACCAGGTTTGATTCTTTGGATGTCTCTTTCACTCTGCGTCTTTATCATGTTACATATCTGGCGAATAACGTATTTCCTTCTCTCTTTTTTGTTGTTGTATGAGAATAGCTTTTCTAATTTACGTAGCCATTTCTATGTCGATTGTCCTGGCTTTGATTCTGTACTGTGAACCTATCTGCGGCCAAACCAACATTCTTGTTTATATCGGAATATGTTCTTTGATGGGTTCTCTCACAGTAAGCATCTTAATTTAGTTTTGAGCTTTATTTTCCCATTTGTGTTCTCTAAACAGTTTCTTATGGTTAATTAGGTAATGAGCATAAAAGCCGTGGGGATTGCGATAAAGCTAACATTAGAGGGGATAAACCAGATTTGGTATCCAGAGACTTGGTTTTTTATAATGGTTGCAGCAATATGTGTCATTATGCAAATGATTTACCTGAACAAGGTAAAGAAGAAACTTGTGCTTTTATCTTTGTTGCCGATATTGTGTTAACACGAGTATGTTTTGCGTTTTGCCAGGCGCTGGACACGTTCAACGCAGCAATTGTGTCTCCAATCTACTATGTAATGTTCACAACCCTTACAATTGTTGCTAGTGCGATCATGTTCAAGGTAAATAGATTATAAACTAACATAATGAATGTTTAAAGAGCAAAGATCCTCAAAATTAATAAATGAGTTTTGTACAGGACTGGTATGGGCAAAACACAGACAGTATAGCCTCTGAGATTTGTGGATTCATCACTGTACTTACAGGAACTGTTATACTTCATGCCACACGAGAAGAGGAACAAGCTTCGTCAGGAACAATAAGATGGCATGATTCAACAAAGAGCTTTAACGAAGAACATCTCATAAGTTTGTACAGTCCTGAGTATTAGGAAAGGTAAAACAAGCTAACTTCATTTAGACCATCTTTGTGTTCAAGGTTACAGTCCGAATCAGAAGAATGTATACACTATTAGAGAAAAAATTGTTCATTATTTTATTAGTACAGACAGATTTTGTAATAATCATGTAAGAATATATATGGATGTACAGTAATATTATTGTATTGAATTTTTTATTGTTGACTTTGAATGAGATAATGAAATTGCCATTTTTCTTTCTCCTTGTAGGAAAAGGAAAGAAATTAATATTAACCTTTTTTGATCTGATAAATTTATGACCGTACGATCAAAACCCACAAAAATCAAGTATATAAAGAAGATCGTCTTTCTAAAGCGTTCTAAACAAGGACAGCCATTCATTCATTCACACAAAGAGAAGAATCAATCATGGCGGCTGCTGTATCATCTGTTTGGGCAAAGCCTGGTGCTTGGGCACTTGAAGCTGAAGAACACGAAGCCGAGCTCAAACAACAACAAGCTCCTCCTACCTCGAACCAGAAATCCACCACCGGAGGAGATTCCACCGATTTCCCTTCCTTAGCCGCTGCGGCGACTACCAAAACGAAGAAGAAGAAGGGACAAACAATATCCCTCGCCGAATTCGCTACCTACGGTGCCCCTAAGGCGTCTCCGGCTCCTCAGACGGAGAGGCTCACTCAGGCTGAGCTTGTCTCTCTTCCGACCGGTCCACGTGAGCGTTCCGCGGAGGAACTCGATAGATCTAAGGGATTCAGGAGCTATGGATCTGATTCGAGGTGGGGTTCGTCTAGGGTTTCGGAAGATGGGGAAAGGAGAAGCGGTGGGTTTAATAGGGATAGGGAATCTGTTAGGGATTCTGGTCCGTCGCGTGCCGATGAGAACGATAACTGGGCGGCTGCGAAGAAACCAATCGTAGGTAACGGAAACGGTTACGAGAGGAGAGAGAGAAGCGGCGGATTCTTCGAATCTCAGTCCAAGGCTGATGAAGTTGATAGCTGGGTCTCGACTAAGCCATCTGAGCCAAGGAGATTCGTTTCTAGCAACGGTGGTGGTGGTGATAGATTCGAGAAAAGGGGAAGTTTCGAATCCTTGTCTAGGAACAGGGATTCACAATTCGGTGGTGGGTCGGATTCAGACTCTTGGGGGAGGAGAAGAGAAGAGAGCGCCGGAGAAAACGGCGCAGCGCCACTTAGCGGTGGTTCACGGCCGAGATTGGTTTTGCAGCCGCGTACACTTCCTGTTCCCGTTGTGGAGGTGAGGCCGGAAAGTCCGGTTAATGTGAGGCCGGAAAGTCCGGTGACGGTCCCTGTAGAGAGACCTAGAGGTGCGAATCCTTTTGGGAATGCCAGACCAAGGGAGGAGGTTCTGGCTGAGAAAGGACAAGATTGGAAAGAGATTGAGGAGAAGCTTGAGGCTGACAAGTTAAAGGACATTGCTGCAGCCATTGAGAAGTCTCCAGGGAAGATGGGGTTTGGTCTTGGCAATGGCCGTAAGGACGAACATACTGAAAGAAGTTGGAGGAAAAGGTATCTCCTTTGACATTCA